CATTAGGCGTTCTGATATAGAAAAAGAAAAACTGGGTTTTGAGATAATAATTTGTCTGTTTTGGAGTCGTTCTAGGAACTCATGTCTTACAAATACATGTGTGCTCTGCCTTTGTGCTGACTAAAAAGAAACATCAGTTTCTGGCTTTAATTTAAGATAGTTGAACTTAGATTATTCAAGAGGTCATTCTGCCTTTAATGACCACTATGAGTAGCTCATCTAGGTGGGACGTAAACATGCCGACATAAATGTGCTGAATTACCCCCTCCTCCGCTGTCCGTCAGCGTTGATAAAGAATGAAAACCTCGTCCAGCCAACTTGTAACGTGCTTGAGTACGCTTGTGTGGATGGCATCATGATTTATGACGTCCATAGATTATTCATGATTTTCAAATCAATCGGCTGAAGAGGCATGGGTACATATCCATCATTTCCCAATAACTGAGAGTGAGAGCAGAAGAGTACATACATCGTTACCTCTCTCCTTAGTCCTGGCCACGATGCAAATTGTTGCAGGAGGTAAGTTATTCTTGAAATACCTGTATGCATTTTTAGTGTTATTCCCGGAGCATCCCACAGTGCAAGTGGACTACTATTAAAGGGAAAGTGAAGACATTGAATCGATTAAAAAACTGTTATATTGAATGTTAATAATTTCGCTGTTTTTAGATGTATTTATTTTACTTGACTTCTAAACTTACTTGTTTATAACTTTGGCTTCGGACATTTCGAATTTTTTTCTTTGGTTTAGTATTTGAGGGTTTTTCCCCGGAATCCCAAAAAAATTAAAGGACGACATTTGCGTATATCATTTGTAATTTGCGAATAAATTTTGGTACCTAAATTCGAATTTGGTCTTATTGTTATTTTTGAGGTCGTTAATTTCAAGTAGATCGAGTGTTTTTATATTCTACTAAAGTCAACAACCCCGCATCATTCAATCTAAACCGACTTTTTTGATTAAGACATTTGGTAATATCCCTGTTTAGCCCCTCCGTATTAGTGTCCGTTCCTTTGGCTTTCGCTTGCCTCGCCATCGTGGGCGTTGAATCGGAGTCCTGACGACAAACATGTGTCTTTGGATCAAACTACAGTGTGTTAACTTTAAGAACTACTTCTAGTAAATCGTCGTTGTTCAGTGTTTAGGACAGAAAATTTGCAACCGATTTTCTCAGCTTGGGGTGTGGTCAATCGTAAGGTTACACTGTCCCACCTTCGTGATTGTTTCTATCTAGAAACTTTCGCCTTTTTATCCATTGTGGTGGCTTGTGGCCAGTCTCAATATGGAATCGTTGGCCAAGGTCTTCATTTTTCTACCGTCCAAACGATCTTGGAACATTATTTTTCAAAGTTTGATTACTTCCGTTCGCCAGACGTTCAAACGTGGCTGACGCACTTCACAACTCTAGTGTTCTGTAAGAGCGTGGCTCCCACGCCGAAATCACTGGGATCTGTGATCACTAGAAATGCATATTCCTTCCTAACTGCCATTTATCATGTCATCGAGCACAATGAAAGGAAACGGTGTCGAGTTTGCTATTATCTTCAGCATGATGGATGACCCTACTCCATCAAAGAGTCAAGCTAACTCTGAGTGCCCAGCGGTTGTGAATACCAGTGATGTTTTCGAAAGTATTACGTGACCCAGTTGTCAAAAAGATTTTCAATGTTTTTCTATAGCCAGCCGCATTGAATTAAGACTCAGAACACTCGTCTTCTATGGCTCTATACTACTGTTTTGCAGGAAAGTAAAAGCGCAGACACATAGCTATCCAGCTACCAATCTTAACGTTGGGGAAATTGTCCAATGACAGTGATCTTGAAATGTGGTCAGAGCTATACATACAGTCTACAAATAAACACCAAACATACCGCTATCTTATAATACATGACAGCAACAGCATTAAAGGCACCTCTTTTACTGTTTGCAAGCAGACTGATTTAAATCAGTACGCTCATTAGAAGCAGGTAGCTCTACATACTAAAATGATCTGCTTCACTACATCCTTCAAGCACTGTACCTTATTCTGGTATAATTATATCGACTAGACTTAATTATACAATAACCAAGAATACTAAACCAAGTAGATGTCACAATTATTGTTTCGTTTGCACAAACATGTTACTCAAAGTAGTTACATTTATATAACCAAACCTATAAACTCAAAATGCGAACTATTGGCTTGTAAACCTTACCCAACAGAAGACAAAGGATATTGTTTTGAGACTGAAGACAACAGTCACTTGCCCATATAAACATAGTTTACAGCACAACAAAAACTTTCTTCAGTAACGTTGTTCACTGGAGGTCTACTTGAAAAAAATCAACGATGTGATTAAACTTATTATAATTTAGGATATCATCCCAGCATGCGATGCACGTCCGGCGTAACGCAGTCCGACGTGGCGAGTAAAAATTGCAACCAGAGTAAGATTTACAGCATAATCAGGATCTTTGGGAAAAAATACAACGTAATATGACAAATTCTATGACTACATGGACGTGGACATGACCGTTATTACACTGAGTGACAGATTATGTTTACGTGGAAACGTTGCGTTCAAATCCACCCGTGTAGGGCCAGTGAAATGTCACCGAGACTTAGCCAAATTGTGCTTTGGACCGGCTCATGCGGTAGTGTTTTCGCCATCTCTGTACTCATTCTTTCTAACATATTTCTATAATAACGTCCCACGTGTTATATGGTCTTCAGAGAAGCCGTAGTACTTTGATACGTCGAAGGGGTAATCCACATTAGATACTGTGACTTCAGAGTTGGCTGGTTCGTCACATCATTCCCGTCTAATTCGAGTATGCCTCCAATCATTTGACATAGATAATCTACGTTGGTGATCTACATGATTATACATATTAACACACGATTACATGTACATAAACAGTGAAGCCATGACTTACTGCAGTATTATTGGCAAGTAACCACCAAACTATTTGAAACAAAGAGAAGTCTTGTTTTTTAACGATCAAACTAAAACAACGGTGATGTAAGGAACCTTTTGTTAAGAGAGAGTTTATTTTGATCAGATATTGTAGCGGCGAACAAATCTTTCAAACTTACGACATTGGTAGTGAGCTCTGTAGTCTTACTGAGGATACGTAGAGTATCAGAGACATCTTAAAAGATGAACATCTAGTCAAAAGGATAGGATACTGAAGTCTGTCATTTCATAATCAGGATGTTGGTTTAATGTTATAATCACAAGTTAAAGTGTATCAAGTGTTTTGAAAATCTATGGAAAACATCAGCTTCCAACACTCGATCTTTCGTTATGATAGTTTTAAACCGTTCTTCAATTCTTGCACCGGAAGTTGAAGGTCACAGGATACATCCATGTTAAAATGTTGATGGCAAATTTCAGGAGCTCATTTAAACAATTTAATGAATGTATGTTTTCATTAGTCTTATTTTTAAATCCTTATGCTAGTTGGAGTCTTTTGAGAAGTTTTGCTTGGTTTTACAAAATCCCCGCTAAATAGAACTTTATGCGGTGTGGTCGCCTACTTGTCAAGGTAGTTTCTTCTTTGTAGGCGCGTACTATGAGGCTCCCACTAATTTCTAATGTTGACTTGCTTTTGTTTTGACACACTATTCTTGTTTTGGGTTTTCATGATTGTTGAATATGTGCAGGGTTTATATTTATTTGTTATGGGTCATATAAATAACTACTTACGATTTAGCCGTGCAGATAAATATTTATTAGACCTTCTGGTCCTTTAATTAACAACGTACATATTTTCAATAAAGTTAGCAATGATAATAAACAATCTCCTTTTATTGATACATGATTACATTTATGATGCTCAACATAATTCTTTACAGCTTTTTTCGCGTCTAGATGTTTCGGCTAGGTCTATTGTTCATGTATAGAATGTTAAATGTATGCACAAATATAATGAGTAGTTCAGATTTAATTAGCATAAAGCAAACTTGGCGCATTTTAAGGTGGTAAGATATTTACGCTATGCATAATGTTTCTTTTCAAAAATGTATACATGTATTTGGTTGTGTAGAACAAAACGAACTCAGCAAAATCTCGTCACAGCAGTTTCAACCAGTGTGTATTATAACTTTGATTGTATAGTGTCGATGATTAAACCCAAAATAACATTATTTACGCATTCATTTATTTAAAGGGTCCTACTAACTGACTAATAACTACAGTTAAAGTATGCGATCTCTTGGAGTCTAAATATTGATTTTTAACATCTTTAGGAAAGGAAAATAACAAAATTGAGGAGTTATGACTTTTAACTTAGTACACGATCATGCATGCAATCTCGAAGCCTCATTACTCTAAATCTAATTTCTGATCACATTCATGAAGAATCTTTAGTCATCTGTAAAGTTCCGGTCAGCTTGTTTTCTGTCTTTTTGTCTTTACATTCGGTTTAAATGGTAGCACTCTTAAAACAGCTTCGTCAACTATGCATCAATGGTTTAAATTTTACTTTGGTTATTGCATTTATCATATTTCTCTCCAAGAAATCTCCAGTAATAGTCTGTTAACTATTATGAGTATGCCACAATAAGCCATATGCGTCCGAATTGTTTAACTCTTCTGTAAGTAGCCGAATCTTTTGAGCACAAAGTAATTTAAAGTTAACCTCTTTGCATCTTTCTTTAAATCTACTGCCTTTCGTACACGTACAAGTAATAACTGACTTTCAAACTTATGTAAAGCTTATGTTAGGAGTAAAGTTATGAAGTCAGAAATCTTAAAATGCCTCCTGTTTAGTCACAAAGAAGTCCAAACTATCTCAGTAGGATCTTCAATTTATTCTTATTATGTGTTGTTATCTTATTCGAAGTGAATAAGTTGTTTTATTGTTTTTATATGGGGCATGTAGGTCGCTTAGTTATGTATTCTCTCTTTCATGTCTATCCTCAATGAATTGATATATGTGGTCCCGGATAGTCATTAAATCTGGAACCCACATGTAACGGTTCTCTATCTTTATATATTTCTTGTTTCACTGTAGTATGACCTCAAACAATTCGAGACGACCCATACTTCCGAAAACACATTCGACTCTATCTATTGTTAATCACAAGAAGTCTACTCCAGGAGTTGATTCGGTAATTCAATTTGCAATTTAATTGTTCACAGTTTTTTAAAGCTAACTAAAATATAAGTAACTTGCCTTTAATGTAACTCTTTAAAACCTGTGGTCAGTTGAAATCTAAGGTGCACGTCTCATCACTTTCGAGATTTGTCATGAAGATCTATCAGTACTTGTGTTTGCATACCAATGGATACTTGAATATCGTACTCGCATTGTAAAGTGCTTGTGATACCAACTCCTCATGTCCTAGATATTAGCTATCGTTAACTTTTTAAGTTAATCAGATTAAATTGGTTTGCTATTCGTGTGTGGATTTTTCGCTTATCAACATCAAGCAACTCAAAAACACTATCAGTTTATGGATTTCATCACTAGTTTGATACAATCTACATCGATGTGTTATAACTTTTTTGAGTGATTTTAAAGTTATTTATAACTGGACTTAATCTCATTTGGTTTGTGGTAGAATCAAGCCGTGTTCATTTAAGATTCATACGTTTATTGTATTCACTACATTCTTTGGAACATCTATTGTTGAAAATTTCAAGCACCCAAATAATTATTTCTTTCGTTAGGCTTTTTTTATAAATTTCAATGATTAAGATCATGAGTCAGTTGAAGCTAGACCACCATGGAAAACCTGGAAGCACTGGACGGCCGTTTCGTCCTATTATGGGACTCCTCAGCAATGCGCATCCCCGACCTCGCCCCCTGTGAGATTTGAACCCAAGGCCCACTGGTTTCGCGCTCGAGCACTTAACCACTAGACAACTGAGCCGACATCCAACGGCTAATGATTTCTTGTGGCTAGTTGCAAGTCGACTTTGGTGATTGGGAAGCCCGACATATATTGACCAAATATGATAGATTAGTACAAGACGTTTTAGTCAGTAGTAGTTTTGCGTTATCTAACTAGTTCGCTATCCTTGATAATTCTTCCGAATTTTCTAGCGTCTGGATAATTATCGATTTGATGTTATCCTAACAATATCATCAATCCCTATACTGTTGATATAATTTGAATTTGATTCTGCCAAAGTTAGGTAGGTTCATAAGTTTAGGAAGAATGAACGTATTGCAGACATTGTCTATACATTTCTCCACCATTAAATTTGATTTTCATATTTTAATGTTTCTGTAAATATCACGTGATTCGAAACAGTAAATTCTAACTATTAGAATGGATTTTTATATCACTTTCATGAATTTGTGCTAGCGTAAAACATATTTTCTGTCTTAAGTGACATCTTGTACTATCTTTTTTTTCAAAGACTCCATTAACAAGTGCACCGTCGTCCTCATCGTCATCATTGTCTTCATTTAGAGCAATTGCCCCAAAATCAAATCAGGATCGCACAGTGATTATCACTTCTGAGGTGGTCAAACGTAATGAATCTAGTGAAGATTTTGTTCACTATTGTGATATTGAATCAAGTAGTCAGGATTTCAACCCTCTTAGAAACTATCGTTCAATATATGCTAATAACGTCGTCCCTCGTAGTTATTTGAGAGTTACGCACCAACGTGTTCTCTTGCCGTCTCATACAATTCCTCGAACTCCTGTTAATTCTGATACGCTTCCATCTGGACCATCTAGTTCTGGCTTTAATGTCAATAAGAAAGGGAGTCTTCGTCCAGTGGTTAAGTTTCTACTTCGTATAGGTAAGTTGGATATTGAGGTTCCATGGAGTTGATATGTTGCACCATGTAACATTTTGAATGTGTTTAATATCAAAATTTAATCAATACAACTCGATATTTAGATGCATATTCAGATAATAAAAATTTAACCATGTCCATTGAAAGGGCTAAATCTACCAATCGAATTGGGATTGGGGTTGAGATGGTAATATAATAAGTGGAATTAGTGTACTTAGACCGCTGAACGTCAGGTCCATTAGTTTTGTAGTTATGGATTAATTTTTCTCGATATTCTGTAACAATAAGGTTACTAAATTTTACTTATTTTAAAAACTTGATTACTTCAAACTTTGTAGATGTCGAGACTTACTCTGACGACAATCATTTTAACTTATTTAGCTTGCGTTTTGCTTGTGTTACATTCCCTCTTCACTTACATTAAGCGCTGTACAGCCATAAATTAGTAAAGTCTCAGTAGTAGTTGGCCCTTGATCATCATCTGTGAATTCGAATGTATTCCCTGCTTATTACGACGTCCAGATTCAAGTAAACTCATAAGGCATGATACATTATATATGTATGTGTATGGCTATCGGGTAATTGTAGAAAGTCGTATCTTTTTTGATTAGGTTAGATCTTTTCACTTTGTAGATACATTACGGACATTCTCATAATTGATCTCTTTTATAATAACGTGGTGTTGCCTATTATCACCAGACTTTTCTCTGAACACTTCTCCCTGAATACAATCAACGATCGATATTGTTCCTGAATAAATCTTTATCAGGCTTTAATATGTAGGGATATTTGTCTTCATATATGAGACATTAAACCAATGGATGGCATACCAAGCTTGCAACCAGATAACTTAACCAACGAGTTGACGTGCACTTTTATTCGTTCCATCACATTTTGTCGATACTGGTCATGTAGTAGATAAAACCAAAATATCTAGTAATTATGAGTGAGTTGAAACTACCCACCTTTTTTTCACATAGACGATACCTATATCGAAAACCAAATGGTACGCATCACTGTGTTTCTTAATGTGTATTTCGTTATTAGTGATTTTTATGATTAGGATATAACATAATCTTACTAATTATAATGATTGTTAAAAGTTAGTCTGCAAGTTTCTATGTGGTTAGAATGTAGTTGATTCTGAGGAAATATTTTGATGTAATTATACTAACAATTAATAGGCTCATATCATTTTTATTTTTTCAAGCACACTTTTTGTTTTCATCGGGTTATCATAATTCTTTTCGTTCGTTCACTATACGTCTGAAATCTATGAATGTATTCCAGAAAAGTAGGAATTCAAACTATATATTTTGTCATAAGCTTAAAGTCAACCCAGATCTTCAGGATTTGTGCTTTCAATAACTAAGTTGTTAGTTAGTTGAACTTAGTTATCAAGTTCATTTATTTAGCTTTTATTCACAATTTTGCATAGGAACTGATATTACTACGTGGTTGCCCAAACTCAATTAATGAGTGCTGTGTTCATACTTTGAAACTAGTGGGTGAATTCTAGCATTTAATCATAAAACCACCCCTTTATTACCATATGGTATCAATATACCTCACATATGATCTACAAATATGCAAAGAATTATAGAGTTGCATTCTTTCAGTCCTAATGTTTAGTTAAACGAAAAAGCTTTAAGGATAATTCTATCACCGGATTTTTAGAATTACTGTATCGAGGAACCATGCTAAACAAAACTAAGGTTGATATTTGTGTATTTTTGAATCATTTGATAATAGTGTAGTTTCAGTCATCATATTAGCTCAAGTAATTTAGAAGCCAGATCCGTCTTGTTTGTAATTATGCATAGTTACCATGACATATTTGAAATTGTGACTTATCCGAATTCTAAGCTTAGCATTAGAATATACTTTTCATTGCATGATAAAACTTTGAAATATCATATATTGTCCTTGAACTATAAATATTTGGTAGAAGGATGGATTTGTAGTTTTAGGAACGATCAAAGTCAATCAATGATCAGTGTAAAGTCATTTGAAATCGGTCATAAAATTTACTCACTTAGCATCAGTGTATTGCGATATTCATTCCTAAACCAATCAATATTTAATATTGACCGAACCTACTCCCAATTTTATTACTTTTTGCCTGCCTAATTATTTATTTCTCATTTTCAGGTTCAGCACTTGTGCGTTCACAGTATGAGCCAGTGGTTGGTAAAGAAGTAACTCCCCACCAGTTATTACTGAGTAATCGACGTAAACGCAGACGTGTTGATGAGGAACCAACTCGATTATCTACAGATAAAATCAATATAGAAACTATCAACATTTCTCATTTAGAATGGAAACCAAAAACGCGTCATCCACGTTGGGAAGACATATGGAATTATTGTCATGATTGTCGTTGTCCCTATGTTCCTACATCTGCCTTAGAATTATTGCGACATCTAGAACGAGGTCACCAGAAACTAGTTAATGTTAATTCAATAGTGATACCCAAAAAAACACGGCTTGAAAAAGTTGATTGTAATGATTGCATGCTCAATGCAGCAGAATTATTGGGCAATAAACTGATAAGCCGATTTTATGTCCCACTCACTGTAAATATCTTCGATTCCTCTTCAAATATATCACCATATACATGTTTTGTCTGTCGACAAGTAAATAAGTCTCAGCGTTTACTAGAAAATCATTTCCAACGGTTAGTACAATGTTTTTTTATTTTACAGTTGCTTTGTTGCATTATTTCTACCATATAGTGGTAGTATCAATGATAGTAAACTGAATATTTATTCATATAGAATTATCTCACTTTTAGATTATTGTGTTACTTTGATATACCGAAAAATTTCCCCCTTTTTGATCTCCATAGGATATAGGCGTTTTTGAACAGAGACACCTTTATGTTATATACAGTAGATGAATTGTTGAGATCTCTGTATACAACCTAGCTACCCTTAGTGCTTAGTATTCTTCAGACACCGCCTCACTTAACTGGTCTCCAAAATCAGAACACGGTTTGGACAAGTACGTAATTATATTCCAGATAAGTCAACTTGAATTGGAGTGAATTCTAGTAAGAAAAACGCTATCATGTTTATAATTTTACACGAGAAGATAATCCGCTGGCGCTAATTGGCTAAGAATAGGCCAACCACCGTGCCCCAAAACAATATTTAATGGAACATGTTTTAATTCAGTGTATATTCTACTACCACAAATAAAGTAGTATCACATACGTTAAAAATAAAATAAATTATACCTAGTGTAAGATACTCACCTGTTTAATTTAGTTTAAATGTCGTTAAGAATACCAATTTTTTGTTCGAATACAAGTGTATTCAACTGGTTGGTTTTGAGTAGTATGAAACACTAACCGTTTCCACCAACCATTGTTTATTACTCAGTATTTTAATCTATTTAGAAGTTGTTTTACTTCAGGTTATTGCAGTGTGACTAGCCTCGGGGGTCTCAAATTGATAAGTAGTTGAAGTAGCCTTTAAAAAATTAGAATTTCGGTAAAAGTTAACTGTTAATATATACAATTAATATTTACTTATTATTCAATGGTGAGTTTGTGGTCTCACTATAGTTTCATTGTAATATGAGTTACATGTACGTTTTATAATTTTGTTCTTAACACTAAGGTTTCGATGCAAAAGAACCCCAATTCAGTTCACCACGTAGTGTGAATTGACAACGCCGAAGAAGTAGAATACAAAGTAAGAGTCATGTCCATCAAAAAATAGAGTATAGAGTACAGTCAAGCGTAACAACCAAAATGTATTTCGTTGTTTTAAAATATGCGTTTCAAATCTTTTGATTATCCAATAAGTAACCCTAACAGGATCAGGATTGCTTTTATTTTAAACTATGTCTGATAGCACTTCAATTCACGGAGTTGTGTAATATTCACTACTCTACTCTAGGAGTGGTGACGGATCAAAGTGTCCTACATGGTTACCTTTCATTCCACTGGGCTTTGGCGGTCTCTCATCATTTTGTGCTCAATCCCAGGTATAGAAGCTACCGGAAGGAAATTCGTAGGATATGTCCATGCCACCTTATCTGGTATTCTAAAATTGTGGCTTTAGTCAGTTATAATCAACATCGATCTCAGCATAGTTACTCGTTAATCTAAGTCCTCATACCATATTAGTACGATGAGATGAAGTTAACAAGTTAAGTGGTAAAGGAGTCAGAACAATATCTGGGTCTTTGTAACCGATCCTGAGTTGTTACCCGAATTCTCCAGCTACTAGTCCTGATTATCATGTGAACTTCAACTAGGTATTCTGTAGATACGAACATGGCTCAGACCAACAGTTAGTAACTTTGTGGACTGATTCCAGGTTTTGGTTCGACTGCCCCTAGCTTCCAACTCACTCGTACATCAGATAACACCTCCCGTCTATGTTGTCAGTGGTTGGTGTTGTGTAACACAATTTCCGTTGGTAAAGACTCACTACTTTATCAACCCGATTTTCGTATTTCCCTATCACCCTATGCCTAAACACAACATTACTCGGTTGTTTTATCATACGCAAGCGATGCTTCAAAGACATCTATTACTGAACACCTAACGTCTACTATTGTTTTTTATTTTCACAAACCATGTTTCCAAGCCATAGATTAGTGCCGAGCAGACTGCTCCGTACAATTCCTCTTTAGTTGGGGTAAGGAAGTCCCACCTACGCCACAAGTGCCGAGATTTCGTCAGACACCTACCCACTAGAACTAACGTGCTTGTTAGGTTATGTAGTTTTGCTGATACAGTCAAGTCAGGTTTCTATGAACCACTCGTAAATGGATAATGTACCTAGTTCTTGCTTGTTTATTTTAGTATATCTGTCTGCCTACATTCCAGTCTTTCTATTTCTACTTACCGGTATATATATTTCGTTGTTAAGTAGCTTTACTTCAAGATATTGACCATGGTAGATTATAGAAAGTCTATACAATTGGAAAGGTTATTTACCCAAATGATTAATCTTGATGGATATTGATTTCAAATGGTGTAATTTTATCTATAACCAGGTTGTCGATGTGTAACTTTCAACGCCTTTGGTAGATTTACGTCTGACCTGCAGGTAGTTTGTGAGCTGGAGGAGTATACAGAGCTGTGTATATAATGCAATCTGGAGAAGAACACGAGGAAAAGTGAGCCGACAACCCACTAAACACTTATGATACACTTGCATTTAATGGTGAAAGCAATCTACAACAATTAGCAAGTTCACGCCAGTGAAGTTAAAACTATCTGGAAATCATAACTAGAAGTTGATAGAATAATACTTTAAATGTTTTCTCAATTAAACCTGAAAGCATCTACAATTCAATTATTTGATGTATAGCTTAAAGTGTACATAGAATATAGTAGTTGAATGAATGCAATGAACTTGGTACAATATAAAAGAGAATAATTGTAAGTATTGAAATCATTGTTTTCTTTTATTTATTTAAAAATAATTATAATTGCAGCGTGCATCCACAATTAACCCCTGGGCGTATAGAAAAACCAACAGTTATCTTATGTTCTATATGTGGCTTCCCTACACAGACTAATCTAATTAGACATTCTTCTCATCATTTGCACTCCGATGTTTCAATACATGTATCATGTAAAAGTAATCCGTCAATACATAATAGTGCTCCATGGTCAGGATGTGACGCTCACGCATTAGCCTGTCTTATGCTTTATCCTACTATGTATGCTCGATTCGGTTTACCTTTTCATGTTGCTCATTTTCTATATGCATTAATTCAACGTATGTTAATGGCTCGAATAAATCAATTTGGTGGTTGGAGTGTTCAGTCTTATACTTTAAGATGTTGTGCAGCAATATCAGCCATTTATGGTGAACTTGTTGGTTCAGATCAAGGTAAACCACTGATTCAATCAAAAATGAGAATTTTAGAACATAATAACAGCTTAAAATCTGTATTCTCAAAAGCATCGATTCCTTCGTAAGTTTCTTGTTTAGTACATTTTAAAACTGTTTATTATATTTGTATGCTTTAATTTGATAGAGTTTGATGATTCTCATATATTATAGGTTAGTGACAATTTAGACAAGATACGGTCTGTTAGTATAGGGACATTTTGTAAATTGCATAATTTTCAGTTTAAATCACGAACTGTTCTTAGTTAAACCGCCATAAAACCCTCGAAGCACTGACTAACCGTTTCGTTTTAGTATGGGACTCCTCGGCAATGTGGACGTACAACGTCACATCAGTAAGGTTAGGCTCACTGATATGAAGCCGCATACTGGGATGGGACGGTCGTCTAGTGCTTCTAGGTTTTCAATGGTGGTCTAAGATCAGTTCGTGATTAGAACTGTGAAAATATACAATTTTGTCGTGTATTTTTTTCGGAAAATATACGAATTTAGTTCGCTGAACAATTGTTCAACTTACTACGTACCGAGAGTATTTAATGATTTTCCTTAGTTTTTCTTCACTCAATCCCCTACACATTAAAGTAGAAGTTTTTCCGAAAATAGTCACCAGGAAGCCCTGGATTTAGGCCTCGTGCCAATTGGCACTTCCCAATAATCCGGACCTGAAATTTGAAGGAACTAACTTTGTACGCTTCAAATCCGCGTCACCCAGCTATGAAGTTAGATTTTTACCATTGAGCTATTCCAATCACGAATGACTTCCTATAAAGTTGAAATATTTACAGTTGACTGGTTACTACTCTCGTCAGTCAATCGGAAGTTTCCTGTTATTCAGAAATTTCATCTGTATTTTCATCCAAATAAAGGGATTCAAGTTTGAATTCAGTGTTAATTATATATTTACATTAACATAAATAAAAATAGTCGTAATAACTAAAAAAATAGCAATTTATTTTATTTTGTTTGGTACATTTTGGTACAACTGGGCACTTAAAGGGGTAAGTACTTCCACACAAATAAAGGAATGAGATTGTGAAGAAATATAGGAGGGGAGGGGGTGTACGATAGAATAAAAGGTGGACACGAATGGTGCATAATAATGGGCAATGTAATTCGATCGAAAATGCAACCAAGAAAGGATTATTTCAATTAAGAGAGTTCCTCTATCTTTCATGACGAATGTAAAATAAACTGTCAAAATCTCTACGAGCTTCTACTCTGAGCAACGTCTGATGATGTTTTAAGCCACTGAGTTGTTCTATCTCTAGGACTTCAACCAGGGTGTTTCATGATAAACTGACAGATTCCAACCCTATATAGCTTTCTTATACACCATGCCTCCACCACCTTCCAAATTGCATCCGGTCCCCAGAGTCAGCAAATAGTTCATAATGTGAAGCCAATGGGATGACATTCGTGTAATATGTTTAATTTTCGCAATAGAGTCGATGTAACAATAATATTGGTAAAGGTGTCTAAGGGGGACTGTTGAATTGTATTCGTATATGGAGTTGTGTTTTTGGATTTTTACTAACTATAAGAAGCTGCCGTATTCTCTTATTTAAAGTAAATGCAGAGGATAGACCAAGATACAATATTCTTTTGGTAAGACGAAGAGGGCCGCGGCCCGGATAGCTCAGTGGTAACATCTCTGACTGTGAAGCTGGGTGACATGGGATCAAATCCGCCAGGGAGCACCAGTTCCCTCAAAGATTACAGGTACACCTTGCTGACGAGTGCCAAGTAGCACGAAACCCGGGTCCAGGGATTCCTGTCGACTACCTCCAATCACCATCTAATCTCACAATAGTGCCCGCAGTGTCGAGTCACCTAGACTGGTGGCCACATTGCAACATGGTCGATAGCATTCGATCTGCACTAATAATAAGGACTAGACAAGCATGACATTGGTCACCACCCAGTGATCAATCAATTGTGACTGTGATGCTGTACACGGATAGGGAAAATGATTTGATCAGCATGGGCAAAAGTATAAAAATCAATTTAAAAAATAAAGAAAGAAAACACGAAGTTTGTAGCTCAAAGTCAAGTACATGGACTTGCATTTGGTTGCCAAATTACGTTATATTGAGAAAATGACTGCTTGGTAGTAGAAAATCTACAAAGAAATAAGGGCTACTCATGAGTAACATAGATGAAATTGCATAAATATTATTTCCAAGCTTCTACGCTAGGTTTTATCGTCTAGTTTTTTCGCGGTATTAATATTCCCTAGTTCGGGAGAATTCGTGTAAATATCTACATGGAGTTTTCGATTGTATTCAGCGTTTCTCTCTTCATTCGTCAGCAACATTTGGTAACTCAAATTCATACTTGCCATCATTTACCGCTATAATTTCCTCTTTGTTTCTCCTGTCACAAGATCCTGTGATCTAATTAATGTTAGTTTATGAATCGAAGATATGAGAATATCTGTTGCGTTTGGATTTTTGAAGTGAATAGTTTAAAACGACTTTGAGATCATGATAATGATAATATTTATTGTTACTACGTCATTATGATGCAATGTATTATTAAGTGATGTATTGATTGCTGCTGTTCATTTTGTTGGGGGGATCCAGAATATCCCTCGAAAAAGACCCAAAGGGGCTCTGTATAGAAGTTTCTCAGGAACATCTAGAAAGTGAAGAGTCACGTGTCATATTTCTTATCGGATGGTTACTTATCCTGCTACTGTGTTTAGTAGGGTTTCAAAACCTTCCAGAAGCTCGAGGCCATCTGAAATGCCTTAAATACCTTACATTTTATGTACATGAACGAACCTTGGAGATAAGCATTCTTTCCACATTTCGCGCCTTTTCTTTCGTGTTGTCGTTTAGATCTGTCTTGGGGTTATAGAAGAGCTTAGGAAACCATTTCAAACGTTCAGGTAGATTTATCACATTTATTTCCTGTATTTTTCTCTAGACAATAAATACCTCTTCCATCACAATTGATTGCTTTCTTATTCTGCATATACAGCCCCGGGTATGAGCTTTTATTTTCTTTCAGCTAGTAGAATTTTGGAGTATTTTCTGTTGATGTTCGTAATTCTTCCTCAACTTCAATATGAATGCAAAGATCTTAGTGTGTTACATAGCGTTGTTATCTGTTTTATTACACAGCTGTTTGGGGGGTCATAGTTGTTGAAGCTATTAAATATGAGGACTCGACATTCATATTACGACTAATGTTTTTAAGTTGTTGTTCGCGTTTGATAAAATCTCTAAATAGTTTTAAACTCGCGTATAAAGCCCTAGTTAGGAGAGGTAAGTCATTTGATAAGATTGTTAACGAACACAAATTAAAATAATTAATATTCGTGTTACGTCACTAAATTTAATTGGTATTGTGGACTTCATTTTAAACATATTGTGAGAAAACCTTTGTATAGTCGTTTCTAGTAAAAGTATTAATTCTGTAACAGCAAAAACTACTGTGATCCCTCTCTCTCTCTCTCTCTCTCTATATATATATATATATATATATATATATATATATATATATATATATATATATATATATATGCCAATGTCAAGTTATTCTTGGTCAAGGTGAATTTATATGACCTGTCACTATTAATTTGTGTATTAGAAGGTGGATATGGAAAATGTATGTAATTGTGAAATGAAGTAGCGCGGTTGAAATTGAGTATGTTGTGTTTGTAGATTGTGTGTGTAAAAGTGGATGGGATCTTATCTTTTATTCTGACTAAAGCGTTTCTTAGTTTTGGTCGTTTCATAGAAGGCTTTGATTTTGTAAGTTTTCAAGATCCGTTGTAATTCTTCTGCCATACCTTGGTGGCAAAGTAAAACCACAGTACCAATCCAAGATCTTTCATTAGAATTATTCTTTATATAAGGGTAATTTTGTTTTAATAATATTCTTAGGGAAATTATTAAATCATAGGATGCTTATTGTATCATTTCTTCATTAAGCATGTGTTCCGAAGTAATGATATACGTTCCTCTTCTGATTTGTTTATCCAAAAAATCACATATGACCTTATTGACTTTCTACACAATCCACACACATCTTCGATTTCAACCGCGCTACTTCATTTCACAAATACATACATTTTCCATATCCACCTTCTAATACACAAATTAATAGTGACAGGTCATATAAATTCACCTTGACCAAGAATAACTTGACATTGGCATATTCAGACCTATTATGCTTTTGACTGTACTAGAAATATTCTGCGTTGTTTCCTTTGTACTATTCAAACTCGTGTTAATTTGATTCGGTCAATTGTTTACTCTGATGAAGTGGTTTACATTAAGTTGCAAAACGTCAGAAATACAATGTAATACAATGGAATATAACAAAAAGTATATTGGTTCTTTCATTCAACCATTCAAATGTTGGTTTTGTGTATATCTCTTTTATAGAACTGTTTCTTTTTACAATTCAACTCCCGCTCAATTAAGGACATGCAATTCTAAAAGCGCTATACCTATTTCCCTATCAACTGTATTAGTTTCATCATCCTTACCGATTCAGCCATGTTTTGCTTCATCATCGTCTAGTGTAAATCTAACTAATATATCATCAGTGTGTATTTTACCTAATTCGTCTCCCATTACTTCCGTTTCTGATTCGGCATCGAAATCTGTGACAGGCTCCATATTACCATCTATTTTGGTCAGTCAACCTACTACAACTCCATCTGTTTCTGGAAAACATACTTTACCTTATGAATCAATGCCTCCTGTTTGTGTTACAATCAGTAAACAGTCTAACCTTTTTATGCATAGAAATACAAAAATCCCGGCTACATCATCATGGTCTGTTTTATCGTCATCAAATCCAACTCTTTTATCTTTCCTCTCTTCCAACCAATCGAAAATTCCTATTCAACCAAAACCTGTCATACCAGTTTCTGTTGGTTTAGCATCTGATAATTTATTACAACAACAATCTTCACTTATTAATAATGACGATAATACTATTCGTGTTCAGGTGGGACCTAATGGTCAAATTAGACGATGCCTGGGAAGTCAACCGCGTAGTTTACCTCGTGTTTTGCCAATGTTAGAAGTTCCGTGTGAACTGTGCCCTTTCAATATTCCAACAGGAACAGATGTTCAAAGTTTTCACGTTATGTCTCGTCATAGAGTAAGTCTTAAGTTGCAAATCACAGTATAAAATATTTCAATAGGTTCCTCTTACTCTTCATATGTATCATATAAAAATATATATACACACAGTAAATAAGTCTATATAAAATTAGTTGAATTTCTCATAAGAGATAAAAAAGATTTTTACATTAATGAGTAACATGGATGCAATATTTTCTGCTGCTGCTAATACCTGTTACTACTTCTACTATTTTGGTAATTTTCTAGATAGTTTTATATCATTGTGCTAATTTGTTATTAGCTGCACAACTTGAATTGATACATGTACTTGGTGGCCAGGTTCTACAGTTGCTTGTGGACTAACTGGCCAAACGATAGGTTTTTGGTTATTTCACCTCTATAAAAATCTATCGTAACATTTGTTTATTTATTAGATATGATAAGAAATCTACCAACCACATAGTTTAATCAGTACAACTCTGAAATGAAGGCGTATCCAGCTGGCGAGTTCCAAATAGAATGAAACATTCATTCTACATTACACTGATAGTCACATTTCAGTTTTTCTAATCAGTAAACTATACCGACTTCGTATTCGTTCATGTTCTAGACTGAAACATTCAATTAATTTTTGTGTTGTACAGTATATTGATGCTCGAACTGAGATAAATCAAATGTTTCAGTTGGCAACTCGGTGATAATAAGTTGGATATCTAGATTTGGGTAGTGATTTTTTTCTCTCGAAGTTATCATCTTAGGTTATGTGAAAAATGTCTTGCTGTCCCTTTGTACCAAGTGGCACTTAAGTTATGATAAAATACATGTATTTAGCAAAATGTTGTGATTGCTAGTGGGTTATTTTTGTTTAGATCCATTAATGACAGATTCGGTATTCTAAATCGTAGAGATCCATTTACTTTGCCACATTATATATTTTTTGTCTATTATTTCTTACTGACTATAACTAAATTGGTCAATACTTATTCACATTGTTTAATTATTAGTTAAATTAACTGTTATATGATTCATTTTCATGAATATTCTGTGACGACGAATACTCAGGTTAAAGGTTTACGACATATCCCAACAATTCCTTGTCGTTTATGTGGTCAATTATTTTGGACAAAGGCTGGCGTAATCCGTCACCAACATGTTAGTTGTGCATTTTGCGATGAAAAATCACTGTGTAATTCAACTTACTATCTACATGAAATTATTAAGCATCCTGTAAGTTGAAGTTCTATTGGATCGTTCATTGTGTTTCCTTTTTTATTTACTCTCCTTTTTGTTATACAATTACTTCGTCTTTATTTTCTATATATATTTCAAGATATCAGTGGTGTTTATAAAGATTATGATAGCTATGCTTAATGATGATTTTGCTGTTAATCTTAGTAAAAAGCTTGAAGCCTCATTTATGGCTCAAAACAGTCGAAAATGAACTACTTTTACGTTTTGGTCTTGGCGGTTTTATAAGATTTATACAAATACCCAACATAGAGAGTGTCATAGGATTAGCAATGTCTGGTCATGGCCATGCCAAGCAGACTTTAAGCTGTCTAGTTTTTGTTAATAAATGTAAGTTTATTTTCTGTAACAACAATCGCAATATTTCTGAATCCATATTTTCGCACAAACTCCACTGTTTTCTGATCGACCGTTAAAACTCTTAGTTTAGCAATTTTCGTGTCCTATATCATGCTTTGTTACTATGTGTGGAGGGATATCCCTTCTCAATTTTGACTTCTGTTCAACATGTAAACCTCTTCTGATGTTCCGTTTTCTCTATCTCTTATTGGGTCGTGGATTATAAGCTCTGAACTGTTGTTGTGTGTCGATGACCGTACTACCGAGTTCGTATTAGAAAAAAGAATTCTTGATATTACTTAATTGAAAATTACCGTCTGGCCAATTGAGGAAACACCACCAGCATTTGTTGCGTAATTAACTGAAAACTGGATTGAGATTATGTTTTTTTTATCTCGGTATACTGCTTTTACAAATGATTGAAAACTAATGTGAAATTACCCACTTGGAGGGTATATTCGTAACTGTGAAGCGCAGCAGTTGTCTAATTGTTAAAGCATTCGACTTTCAGCTACTTAATCGTATATTGGAGCCCCTCCCCACCTACTTCGACTTGAGCAACCTACCAGTATCACTAGCCCTCACACTTAAAGTGTTTCTCGAAGTCAAGTACACGAGTTTATGTACCTGGTCAGTCGTAAAGCTAAGTTGAGCTACGACCCTTTTTGCGTTTGGATTCAGAAGGATACAGTTTTCAAAGTTGGATTATAAATACGATTGTTTGATTGTTAAATATTTGAATATCACCGTTTTGTTAGATGTTTACTTGTTAGTTGAAGTTACTAACTTTCACTTTTTCATTTCGGTTGTTTTCACAGAAAACCTTATAGCTTTGTATGGATATGTGTATACATAATTCATATTATTTATCTGATATTATTATTATTATTATTATTATTATTATTATTATTATTATATTCTTTTGGTACTTTAGCAACACTTTGCCTATCGGTTGAATAAAGATGTGTATAATTGTCCACAATGTTGTCGTGTGTTCTCGGATATGATTTCATTCATAATTCATTTACAAACTGTACACTTTTTCACTGTACCAGATGAAATAAATAATCATATATGCAAATATGGTTCTACAAGGAATAACCAAATAAATTTTAATAATTTAACAATGAGTTCAAAATTAGTTAATCTTTCTACATTGTATTCATCATTATCCATGTCAACAATATCTGTATCATATTCATTACCGGATAATATTGCTGTATATATAAAGCCTGAAGAAATACCATGTTGGAAATGTTCAGTTTGTAATACACATTTTATTACCATTAATCATTTAGATTTACATATGGCTCAAGTTAGTTTTTATTTATTTATTCATTGTAGTTGTTGGGTTTGTAAATTTTTGTGTTGTAGATCCTTAATTATATCAACTGATGTGATTGGAACATCTGTTCTTTATGATCACTCACTGCTTACCTCAACGTTTAGTGCTTCAGCGTACTAAGTTGGAAGAAAGCTAGGATATACCAAATCAAGACTTGGTTTCAATTCATCAAGTCATTGACTGTTGGACTGAGCCATGATGTTAGATGAAAACACTCTGGCTGGGGTCTGTTAATAATCACCCACTATGGCACAAATACATTCTTTGTTTTCACTTGTTTAGTCTCAAACTCATCTTATGCTTATTTATTTCACAAATCAGTCTTCTCTTCTATAGCCATAATATCTATGTCTAATCGTATTTTACTACTGTTGATACTATTGCTATTTCAATCGCACTACTATTTGTTTTGATAGTTTCATCTCACTATTTTTATATGGTGTTACAGCTTAAACCAATGTACTAGGTTCTATATTACTTATGACTGACTGATATACATTCCATTATATAGTAATCACACGTTAGTCCACTTCTACGATATCGTCTATTTTTCATGTGTTGACTGTATTAACTGGTTGATTAAATCTGATTGTTAGTAAGTGTTCATAACTAAGTTTTTTAAACCTTCGAGGATTTGTACTGTGATTACGATATTCAAACGTCTGTCAAACAGAAATACATTGTTAGACTTTAATTTGTACACTTCTGGACTGATACTGGTAAACCTAGAGACATACATTTAATAATTATTTTTTAATGTGTTTATATCGTTCCATTTGTGTTTTATCATAAGCTTCTACATTTCTCATTTCATTCTGCTTTTTTTTACTTTAACATGTGAACGTTTATGTGACATAGTAGATAAATCTGAATTTTATTTAAAAATCTTGCGTTTTATATGTATTTGGCACCATCTTCTACCAACGTTTATGTGTACAAACAAATATATAAATAGTTCATATTTAATCCTCTGTTCCCCATAGCTCTCATGTAATTAAATTACAACTCAACTAGGTTCCAATTCTGATCGTAACAGGATTTAAATGTTTTGTGTTCTAATTTTTTTGGTGATTGTTGCTAGTGTGAACTCAATTTATCTAGTTTCTTGTTAATCAATGACAATTCCTGAAACTCAAAAAAAATAAGATAGTGGGCGAGGTGAGGACTTTCTGTTTTATCCACTCATATATTGTTATTGCAGATCGTCTTTTCACCCTCACACGAACCCATCTGATCGTCGGTAGTTTGAAGACAGGACAGTTGAAAAAATTAGGCAGAAACGATGTATTTAGATTACAGACGGTTGCGTTGATATATTCATCAGTTTAATGCTGTTATACTAATATTATTATTACCATTACATAATATCAACAAATGTATTGACGACTATTACAAAATATTATGGAACATTGATTTGGATGTGGTTTCAGAAATGAAATATTAAGAAAAATCAATACGTCCAACATTTGCTATGAATACGAAAACAAGTAATGGAATTAATTGTTAATGAATGAAGACACTAGGTTATTAAAAAGTGGAGAGTATAAATTAATTCATTCGCTTTTGATCTTTGGAAGATTTAAAAATAACTGGGAAGAGAGGCTTCTAAAACTATTCATTCTATAGAGATGTGTTCTGTGAGTTGTATGATTTAATTGTTAAGCCTTCGTTGCCATCTAGTTAACAACACTAGCAGTACATACTTGAAAAAGAAGTGAAGTATTATAATTTCTTTACAGTTTATTAACAGTTTGTACATTGACCCGGGATTTGATTTGTTATTGTCCATAGTTGTATTGCCGTTGTTTACAAATTTACTCTGATTGTATTCTCGGCTGGACCTGATCATTCTACTGAATTGCCAGATCTTTGTAGTGCATTCAAAGTATCTGGCGCTAAAATAGGCTCACCTTATCTTTCCAATAGAGCGGTCACTCAGTGGTTGAGATGTTTGATTTTAGATCACTAAACCCCAGGTTCAAACCCCTTTCGACCTACTTGTGTTTGAGTAACTGAATATTATAATTAGCCCTCACATTTAGAGTGTGGCTCATACCCATGTACGTGGTGAATAAGTCAATTCAAATTTTAATGCATATATACACATACAAGTGACTGAGAATGTGATACTGGTTTAATCTCACTTTAATTCATGTGGTCACACATCATACGTATTTAAATAAATTAATACCTGAAAACACAAATAGGTTAGAAATATTTCCCGACCATTCATATATTTCGTATACATGCCTGTGTTAATCTAATAGTTTGGTCAAAGTTATTAAATTTGTGATCAACTGAAAAAAGCTCTCAATCTTAGTTAATGACAATTGACATTTCCTGCCTAATTGATAGAAACCTTACAAGATAGTATTATACCATGTCAGTCAGTGATTCTCTGGGCCTTTTTCTAAACTGGAAAAAAAGCTTATGTTTAGTAGTATTAACAATACTTGGATGAAATTAATACCCAGAAAATTGAATTAAAACTACTGTTTGGAAATATTGTCATTTCGAGTGCTAACAGTTGTAACCTCGTGTCACGAATAGGAAATCCCACCCTTCTAAATATTCATGATTATACCTTTTCGAAATGAGATTTCAATCTATTTTAGTATAACTATATGATAAATGCTGTAATATAGAAATGCATTTTATAAATTGGTATTTTAGGCTAGTCATCAGTACTGGTGTCCTCTATGTCTGTATGCGTGTGAACGAGCAATTTCATTATGGAAACACTATTGCAATAGTCATAACAAGGAATCCGGACCAAATCAAATTTCTGCAAAAAATAAATTTTATCGAATTGTTAAACCGCAATCAATTGGCACAACTAACATTTCTACTTCAATAACAGCAACACCAACGACATTATCATCACCATCATCATCCTTAAGTACAGTTACTGCGGCAAAAATTATTACCAGTCCTTTGAAACGGGGTAGCCAACTCTGTGCTATTGGTCGCTTATCCCAGGTTAGTTTTTTAAGGCCTATTGTTACTTCCCACTGTTTACATAACTTAAAATGAATTATACCATCACCTACCGATTGCTACTATTTCGAACCATTTCTGTTATTTTTAAGTTATCTATCCACCCCATACGTACGAGCACTAGTTGTACACTTCAATGTGGTGTTCATTCGTCATCACTAAACCTATAATCAGTGGGGAAACTCGGCTATAAATTCATCTGATAAAGAGTTAAGTATTAGATATTTTTAACTGGTTTAATTTTGGGTTCGAATAATTGATTTTATCTCTACATTTCTCCCTCTCGAAATGCTCTCACATGGCCATGCGTATATAGCCTCTGCCAGGGAAGTCCTACTCACTGCCTTCTCGTGGCACAAGTGTTGTTTACGAAATCGAGAGGACGTAAAGCGAATGTCCGGCGCTTTACCCGGGTTGGTGGACATGGAGAGTCCATCTAGGGGAGTTGGAAAACACTGACTCCAAACCAATGGTGCACATGGGCTCCAGTGTCCTGAGGGAACAAATGGAGTGTGAACCAATCGTTGGTCACCGGCTACCATGGGATTTCATCTCCTTACGGTGCTCCACTACCTTATGAATCAGACCTTTAGGTCGAAGCCTCCGAGTATGGCCCCCCTAAGAAAACCACCTACTTCGGTTTGGGCACCCGGGCAGTATCACAGCCCTCACACAAATCAATTGAGATTCGTGTGGCGCATATGTATTTGGTGCCTCCTTGTACCAATACCTATGTGTTCAAATAAACAAATAAATAAAATAAAATTTCATTGATTTTAACTGAGTGTTGCTCTAAGTTGTCATAGTTCTTATCGATCCTAGATCTCTTGTTCTTTAAGCTGTATTCTTTTCATAAAACGCACTTTAAAGATTAGTTTGAATTGGACATTTTTAGAGACTAGATAAATGTCATCCTATTTTGTTGTTGCCGTTCCAGTAAAAGAATTTAGGAAATCCTGCAGAATTAATTTCTTTGTTGTTATCGAGTTTCTGCCTAAAATGATGCGATTTTTAGCATAAGGAGGAGCTTTAGTGGTTATTGAAATAACTGATTAATTTTTACCTCGTTGATAGACATCCTCCTTCTAAAAACCCTTTTAATGTTCAAAATGGTTTTTAGGAGTTCCTACATTGTTCCTGGTTAGTGTTAAAGATTATCATTAAGGGTTTTGGGTTAATTTATGTGTGATTTACTGTCTCCATAAAAAGACTTAAATATTTTTAACTTTTAAAGCTATAGTTTTACTTTATGATAACTAAAGTTACTTTTGGTTCTAACTTTGAATGTTTTGAGAATAATTACACAAAGATATTACTACCGCTCCCTTTTTGTGATATAAGATAGAAGTTATTTGTACTTAAATCCTTATATGAAGACTCGAAAGTTAGCTCATTTCTGTATGGGTTGTCTGAATCCTTCCATTGTTACTTAGGACTGCGATTGATCAGTCTCTTATTGGCATATGTGCATTCTGTACGGATTGCTTTGATATTGCCTTCAGCCGCTAGCATTATAAGCAGAGATGACCTACAAAGCGAGACCCACTGCAGGCCATTATTATTTCTGCTTATAGGGCTTAAAAGTCGTTTTTCTGTTCTGATTAGCTCGTTCCTATACCACAATTTTACATGTAAAATGAGCCATTATAATTTGAAGTTCTCACTCTTTGAATAGATAAATTTATCTGAGTACAGTATTTCATCATGATTTATGAATATGTAAACATTTGAACATTGTATTAATTAATGTAGTTTTTTCGATAATCTTTTAGACCAGATTTTATTCATTACATTTGTTTATCTTTTATAGTGATTTCTTCTCTTTGTAATGATTTATGAGAAATTATTGTGTTAGATGATGTATTTTGTTTAAATCGAAACAAAATAGTTATAACTAGGCGATCACATAGTTTCTGTTCACCAATTTTCCGAAGGTCGTTGTTATTTACAATTAATATTTTAGTTACAAAATAGAAAAAAATAGTTTGATTGTATGTATCTGTGCAAAACATAGTCTCGTAATGCATCTACCTCCATATATTCTAATTTTTGATTTATCTTTATTGAAATGTTTTGTTTTATATAGTTTCATGGGTGCGATTTATGTCCAGTATTTTGTTTAACTGTTGACGATCTCAATACACATAAGAAAACAGCTCATGCTAATGAAATGTTTAAAGAGAATTCAAATAATAATAATAATAATAATAATAATAATAATAATAATAATAATAATAATAATAATAATAATAATACGAAACAGCTTGTCGTATCTAAGACATCTGGCTTTCTCACGACATCAACATCAGTAACGGCTACTAGTACAATTATTACTTCTACGTTAAGCAATCAACCTATTCGATTGAGCATTACCAAAAGTTCACCCTCTACATCTTCGACGAAATTCATTGATGTTCATGATGATGGTGTCAATGGTGGTAGTGTTTGTAACGTTATCACTTCATCAACATTATCAGTGTCAAATCATTCTAATGAATCTAGATTGAGTTTAAATAGATCTGTTAAATCGATTACCAGTGAACAGCTTATATTTGAAAAGCTACTCAGTACTACAGCTATAAATAATAATAATAATACTGAGACATCGGCTGTTACCATGGCAACTAACAGTTTAAATAATCAGATCATTGATCAAATCACCATCATTGATGATAATAACGACAACAACAACAATCATGATAAACGAGATGAGCTGAACAAAGGAATTAATACTGTTGAACATGATAATGTTTGTAATGATGAGGATGAGGATGTTATTTGTCCAATGTGTGAATTTCACAGTAAATTACGAAGTGATGTTATGCAACATATTATGGATTGCCATTAATCAATACTCTATTTATTATTTGTACTTATTAATGATGTATCATCCGGTGGCTGTATATTTATACTTATCAAAGAGAATATTGCTGTATGTTAATTTTTCGATTAACTCCATCTTCCTTTCATATATATATATATATATATATATATATATATATATATATATATATATATATATATATATATAATTGTACAGTCTCTTATTGATGGAATTTTTTCATTTTTACTCGAGAGAAAACGATACTCTTTTCTGGGGTTTACATTTAATTATGTCATTATTTAGTGAAGTTGTAGTATTGTAATACATATTGTTCCGCTTGTATTCGTTATATTTATATTTATTATTGTTATTATTATCACTAATGATGGATTGTTAGTAGTTGACTTATTTTTGTCAATATATATGAATATATTTTATTTTTCTAATCAAATTATATGGAGTCGTAATTTCTATTAAATTTACAATTGAATTGAATAATCCTTGTGAAATTAAACATACTTAGAATTTATTTCCTTACCTTCTAGTTGTTTCTCTTAAAACTGTACTGTACCATTTCTTTTCAGGTGATTTTATGTTGATTGCTTTATGAGTCGCGGTCGTACCTGCAACCTTGACATGGTTGTCGGGTACTCATATCATAATGCCCTGAAAGTAACACCACCTTTTTAATCCACAGATTTTCATCGCAGGCTGTAAGACGTTAAAAATACATAGTTGATATATCAGATACCATAAAGTCGGTGTATTACTGGAGTCAATCAGTTGTCTTTTTGTTCACTACGACCACACTGCAAGGTCTTTCAAGAAGTAGTATTCCATGATGTGTAGCCAAACAGCAAGCGACAATCACACACATACTCCTAACAGAACTTCAGATCACTTTGACTGCTGTGCGAGTAAAGGTTTTGGTATTATGGTGTTGATCGTAGCTAACAGCCTGACCTTCAAGTTAAATTTACTTATTATTATGATTTGATTAAATTATATTATGAAAAAATAAGTTTGGATTAGTTATGTATAATAGCGAATGCAAGTTTTCAGAGAAAATTTTCTCTTGTTGTATTTGTCGTTGAATTATGTCTTTCCTTATTACCATCTTTCTAACTTGTAGCAAAATATAACTTAGCGTTACGTAAGCAGCATGGTTATTGCTGTATTTAAAGTACAAATAATAATAGGAATCCCACT